TTCCCTAATCTACTTGCCTACATCACAACTACCATTGTCACAGTGGTCCCATTTCTATCCTATCTTTTCTAAGAGGGCAAGGGTTTGGCTCAGGCAGCAGTGTTCAGGGATTACTCTTGGCTCTGTGCTCAAACTTGGGTTAACTGCATGCCAATCAAACTGCATGCCTTACTCTTTTTCCCCTTAAGTTCTGAAATGAATCATTGTCTTCTATGAAGATTTCTATGAAAACATCGAGGGAGATTTGCCTTCACTATGATTACATGAGTAGAAATGACAATTTTAGACTGGTGTTTGAACATTTTCTTTGCTGTATTTCAGTGAAAGGTGACAAGACACAGCATTGCAGAGCCAGTAGGCTTCTAAATGAACCTGGTAAAGAAATATTTCTTGGAGATTTCTCATCGTTCTAGTGTATTTCAGAGGGCAAAATGATTAGAGAAAATATGGTCACACTGGCCAACTTAGAGATCTTTCCTTGTATACCCACCCCTATATGAAAGCTGACCCTTTGTTGCCTAGGATACCAATGTTTAAAGTCATTTTAGTGATGAATACTTTAATAAAACGAACCTTTCAAATTATGAGGATAACAATCATTTCATAATCTTCCCAAACTCTCAAATGTAATCCTGCTGGCCTGGACAATTTCAACAGTGCGCAGCTCTGCTACTGCTTTATGAAGCCAATAACATTTTCTGAATCATCAGAGCTCTTTTTTTTCCCAGAAGTTTCTTGTACTCACCCACTTTTCTTATTTCCCAGAATTTGTGTTTTATGGTGAGGGTAATGAGTGATGCTTCCTCCAGGAGCTTCTCTGGGCTTCCCAGAAAAGCATAGGCTATAATCTAAGGAAGTACAAATATCTTTGCAACTATATGGCTAAATCCATTTATCTTTTCTTTTTGGTTTTGGGCCATACCCGGTGATCAGCAACTCCTTTGTTTTGTTTTTTTGTTACTTTGGGCCACAGCTCGGGGGTTACTTCTGTCTCTTGCTCAGGGATCCCTCTGGATGGGCTCAGTGGCCCCTACGAGGTGCTGGAGATCAAACCCTGTTCATGCCATTGCAAATGTGCAAGACAAGTGGCTGCCTTACCCACTGTACTGGCTCTCCAGCCTCAGGGGGAGTAACATGAACCTTCTGCATGGAAAGAATGAGCCTCAGCACCTCAGCCTTTTCTTTTTTCTTTTTGGGTCACACCTGGTGATGCACAGGGGTTATTCCTAGCTCTGCACTCAGGAATTACTCCTGGCAGTGCTCAGAAGACAATATGGGATGCTGGGAATCGAACCCAGGTTGGCTGCGCACAGGCAAACACCCTACCCGCTGTGCTATCGCTCCAGCCTTTTGAGCTATCTCCGAGGAAGGTCCATTTTCCTTCTCTAATTCTTTCAAAACAGCGAGTCGCATACTGTGTGAAGGTTGCCAATCCGGGTTCCACTCCTGAACCCATCAGGGATGATTCCTGATTGCAGAGCCCAAAGTGTTATGTATGAAGACCAAATGCTGTGTGGGCTCACCAGCAGACAGGAGTGAAGTCACTTTTAGTTGTTTTGGTGTGGGGGGGAGGGCACACCCAGTGGTGCTCCTGGCTTTGCACTCAGGAATCATTCCTGGCACACCGGGAGGGGGGGGGCGGAAGCAGAATGTGGAGGGTAGTACTCAGGTCTGCTCCGTGCAATGCAAGCGCCCTACCCACTTCACTACTCCAGCCCCTGGAAAGTCACTTTGGTGGTGGGATTAGTGTTCGGAACACTGAAAGCCCATAACAACTGAAAGCCCATGAACAACTTTGCAAACCCCTTTTCTTTCTTTCTTTCTTTCTTTCTTTCTTTCTTTCTTTCTTTCTTTCCTTCCTTCTCTCTCTCTCTCTCTTTCTTTCTTTTTGCTTTCTGGGTCACACCCGGCGATGCACAGGGGTTACTCCTGGCTCATGCACTCAAGAATTACTCCTGGTGGTGCTCAGGGGGCCATATGGGTTGCTGGGAATCGAACCCGGGTGGGTCGCATGCAAGGCAAACAAATGCCCTACCCGCTGTGCTATCACTCCAGCCCCTGGTGTTTATTTTTTTTAAAAGAAAGTAAAAATCATCTTACAGTATATTCAGTGGTTATTTTTGTGTGTCAAGGTGCTGGGATGGAACCCAGAGCCTCAGACTTTTGACGCAGGCACTTTCCAGCTGAGCTCTGTTCAACATTCTGCTAGGTTTTTTTTTGTGTGTGTTTGCTGGGCTGGGCCACAACTTGCAGTGCTCAGGGGCTATTTCAAGTTCTGTGCTCAGATGTGACCTCTGGTGGTATTTGGGTGACCATTCACAAATCTGCATTCAAGGCTATGCCCAGTACTCTCTCTCCAGCCCCATCTTCTTCGTTGGTAGGTTTGAGTTCACTTCCTATTGGCTTCCTCACTCAGGGGCATAGCCTGGTGACTCAGCAGCGGGAGCAGTACGGCCTATTTGGGAGTACTGGGGCCTTCTACAGCGATGTTGAGGGGGGAGGTGACTGGGTGTTCTTTCTTCTCTCACTTTCTTTGTTTGAGGTTACACCCAGCAGTGCTTGGGGCTACTCCTAGTGTGGTGCTTGTCCCTGGAGGGGACCATATGGTGCTGGGGATTGAACCCAGGATCCTGCATGCATGCCATGTGCTCAGTCCCTAGAGCCACCACCCCGGCCCTTATGTTTGATTGAAAGTCCTTTCTCTCTTTCAATTTTGATGTGATTAAGTGTTGCCAGCTTAATGTTTTCTGAACACCAGCCTTCATTTATCAATGTAGATACCAAATAAATCCGGTAAGATGACAGCTCATCTACCATCATCCATACCTTACAAATCCTCATATTTCAGTCCCTGGCACATGGCTGACACTTGATAAATGCTGGTAGGGGTGATAAGGAAAAACTAACTAGATACAAGAGGTACAAAATGAAAATGTTCATTATTCAAACTTCCCGGAGAAACCAGGTCTCACCGTGGTTCGTGAATCAAGATTTAATTTGATCCCAAGTTTCATATGTGATATCTAGAAGCTATCCAATATTAAATTTCTTAGTTGTGGGGAGGGTTTCAAGATGAGTGGGTATTTTCTTTTTTGTTTATTTTGTCTTGGGGCCACAGCTGGTGGTACTCAAGGCTCAATCTTGGCTCTGCCCTAAGGGATCAGTTCTGGCAGGCATGGGGGAGGGGTGGCGGAGGGAAGGGGGGCAGCAGGGACCTTACGTGGTGCTGGGGATGAAACACAGGCCAGCCATGTGCAAGGCAAACACCCTACCCACTGTACTATCTCACCAGGCCCACAAATGAAAATTCTTTAGTACTGGGGTCTTCTCAAGAAATTCCATGGAAAGAAGGGAGGAGCGGGAGACGCACAGATGAGTCTCGGACCCGGGTGGCCTGCTGCGGGGGTAGCTCTGAACTTTGCAATAGGCCATTTCACCGGGCCACTCCAGACAGGAACAGGTTTCATCCTTTTGCCTGCCCTCTAGGATTCCCGGTGGCCCCATCTTCTAGAACTCAGCAAAAAGCTCCAGGTATGAGTGACGGTGGCGGGAAACGTCAGGCCTCACAGGACGGGGAGGAGTAAGTCCTTCCCCCCACCCCGATGGGACTCTGGGAGTGCACCCACACAGCCACCATCTACTTGAGCTCCCACATGGCCATGGTCCAGAGACACACAAAAGAGTCTCGGGCCTGAGCAACTTGCTGCAGCGATCTCTCCAGACCCTAATTATTAGAGTTTTGGAATTCCTGGCATGCGTGGCTGCTCTTGCAGCCTTGCAACATTATATTGTATCCATAGTAAGCAAAACAAAACACATTGTTGGCCTAAGGATAGTAGATACATGGGGCAGGAAGATTGCTCCATAGCTGGAAGCCTGCCTCATGAGCAAAGGGGAGAAGGCAGCTGGAACAGAGAAGGGATCACTAAGAAAATGATGGCTGGAGGAATCGGTCGGGAGGGAGATGTGTGCAGAAAGTAGATAAAGGACCAAACATGATGACCTCTCAGTGTCTGTATTGCAAACCATAACGCCCAAAAGGAGAGAGAGAGAGAGAGTGAGAGAGAGAGAGAGAGAGAGAGAGAGAGAGAGAGAGAGAGAGAGAGAGAATGGAGAATATTGTCTGCCATGGAAGCCGGGGGAGGTTTGGAAAGGGGGGTATACCGGGATATTGGTGATGGGGAATGTGCACTGGTGGAGGGATGGGTGTTTGATCATTGTGTGATTGTAACCCAAACATGAAAGCTTGTAACTATCGCACACCGATTCAATAAAATTAAAAAAAAATTGTCAGAGGAGCGGCGGGGGAAGATAAATTAGGAGGCAAGAGTAAATGTCCAGCTGGATCTGGATGGTCTCCCTTGCACTGCTGGGCCCCAGCAGAGCCCCACTGGGATGCTCGGATCCCACTGGGTCAGCAGCATGCAAGGCCAGTGCCTCACAAACTGGCCTCTGGTGCTGCAAATCACCTTTTTCTAGCCTTGTTATCCAACAGGAAGGATTTCCGTCTCAAGTGACATCATAGGCCACACTAGGGCATGGCTGGGGAAGGCTGGTCCATTCGGGGACCATGTACTTGGGACTGTGGGAGCTGCAGCGTTCAGGGCTGAGGCTGAGGACAGGAAAGAGGCTCCTTTCAGATGATGGTGACAAGCAAATTTTGTTTTTTCTTTTGGGGTCACACCCAGCGATACTCAGAGGTTACCCCTGGCTCTGCCCTCAGGAATTACTCCTGGTGGTGCTTGGGGAACCACATGAGATGCTGGAGATTGAACCCGGATCGGCTGCGTGAAGGCAAATGCCCTACCCGCTGTACTATCGCTCAGGCCCTGTGAGAGCAAGTTTGGGTACGAGTATCAAATTGTCCTGTGGCCACAGAGATCACACAGCACCAAGGTTACGATTATATTTAAAAAATAGACCCAAAGGATCCGAGGAAAGGGAGGGTTTAGGAAAATTCAAGAAAAACTCCGCTGTATTTTTGGTTTGGGTTCAGGGCCAGACCCAGTGGTGCCGGAGGGGGTAGGAAATGCTGAGGTGGTGCAGGTGCCTGGGGCAAAGTCTGCACTTCCAGCCCTTGGAGCCATCACCCAAATTCCTGTTTGCTCAAGTGAGGTACTCTGGCGAGTTTTTCACGGAGCGCAGAAAAGGAGGGCTGAGGTGGTGGGGTGTGGAGTCCTCAGATCCAGGCCTGGCTGCTGCCAAAGGACTCCCTGAAAGAAACAATTTCATGTTCTTTATCAGAGGAAAAACAATTGAACTGGAGGCCGTGACGTATTTGAACAAGTGTATCTGGGTACTTAACAATCTGGTCATGATGACCCATTGAGAGCTGGGTGGGGTGCCACTTTAATCCTCAAATGGCCTTCACCTTTCTTGGCAGGGGTCCTTACTGTGCTTGGGGTCCAGTGGAACTGGGGGTGTGGTGGGCTATGGCACGGGGGCTCAGACTCAAGGCCTGGCACATGCGCGACCTGTATTCTACCATTTGAACTCTCTCGCCAGTCCTAAAACATTTTTCTTTTTCTTTGGGGGTTTGGGGCCATACCCAGTGATGCTCAGGGTTTACTCCTGGCTCTGCCCTCAGGGCCCAGTCCTGGCAGTGCTCAGGGAACCACAGGGGATGCTGGGGATTGAACCCAGGTTGGTTGCATGCAAGGCAAACGTCCTACCCACTGTACTATCGCTCTGGCCTGTTTTTTGTTCTTTTTGGGTCACACCCAGCGATGCACAGGGTTTAACTCCTGGCTCTGCACTCTGGAATTACACCTGGCGGTGCTTGAGGGACCATATGGAATGCTGGGAATCAAACCCGGGTTGGCCACGTGCAAGGCAAACACCCTACCTGCTGTGCTATTGCTCCAGCCCCTGTTTTTTTGTCTTTTTGAAGCTTGGGGGTTGCTCGTGGCAGTGCCCGGGGAGCTAACCAGGGTTGGATGCATGCCAGGCAAGCACCTCTCCTCCCCTGCCCCACTCCCACTCCCAACCCTTGGGCTGTCCCTCTGGCTAAAATGTATTTGCTTGTGGTATCAAGTGGATTCACTCAGCATGAGTTCAGTGGCGGTGGTTTAAGTAAACCTGACTGACAGGAAGGAATCTTTTGATGGGGAGACGTGATGAGGAAAGAGCACGGAGCTGCGGGGTGGGGGTGGGTGGGCAGGGGGCTTTGGTCCAACAGGAAGGTCGCATGCACTTGGCTGAGCGCTGGGGGCTCTAGGCTGCAACTCACCGCAAACTTTCTCCTCATGCGGGGCACCCTGAGGGGCCTCTGAGGCAGGCCCGCACAAGTCAACCAGCTTCTGCAGGTCTTCCTCAAGACCCTGGCTCAGATCCTTGTTGTTTCTCAGAAATTCTCTCACTCCTTCCAGGCGGTGTAAGATCTGGAAAAAGACAGCATAGCGTGTAGAGCTGAGACCCTCTCTGAGCGAATGTGGGAATTCCCAGGGAAAAAAGGAGTGGCAGACGCCTGCTCTTCTGTCCATATCAGGGGGCGTGTGGTTCGCTTGTCCCCTCAGATGAACAATGTCATTGCAGGACAGCTCCTTACACATTGTATGACAGAGCGAATGCTCTAACCTACATGTGTGTATCTATCTGCCCAAACAGTAACCAAGGCATGTGAAACGGAAGTGTGGATTCACATACACACCATATATGTCTCTAGATCTTTTTTTTTTTTTTTTTTTGCTTTTTGGGTCATACCTGGCGATGCACAGGGGTTACTCCTGGCTCTGCACTCAGGAATCACTCCTAGCGGTGCTCAGGGAACCATATGGGATGCTGGGAATTGAACCCGGGTCGGCCGCATGCAAAGCAAATGCCCTACCTGCTGTGCTATCACTCCAGCCCCTCTAGATCTTTCTTTCTTTCTTTCTTTCTTTCTTTCTTTCTTTCTTTCTTTCTTTCTTTCTTCCTCTCTCTCTCTCTCTCTCTCTCTTCTTTTTCTATTTTTTTTTGTTTGTTTTTGGGCCATACCCAGTAGTGCTCAGGACTTACTCCTGGCTCTATGCTCAGGGATCACCTATGGCAGTGCTTTGAGAACCATGTGGGGTGGAGGGGATTGAACCCAGGTTAGCCATGTGCAAGACAAGCGCCCTATCCATTGTACTATCTCTCAGGTCACTGTATTCACATTTATGCAAAGAATACGCATCCTTGAGGCTTGTCCAGTGGACAGAGGAGCATGGAGAGGACCATCTCTCTGCTGCACATGTGTTCCCTGGCACACCCCTACCCTCCAGGACACAATCCACTAAAAGACTCCCATTGGTCATTTTTTTCTCAACTGGACTTTTTCTTTTTTGGGGGGGTCACACTCGGCAATGCACAGGGGTTACTCCTGGCTCTGCACTCAGGAATTACTCTGATGCTGGGATTCTGGGATTCGAACCCAGGTTGGCCGCGTGCAAGGCAAGGCAAATGCCCTACCTGCTGTGCTGTCGCTCCAGCCCCTCAACTGGACTTTTGAAGTGTGTCCACACTATTATCATTGAACACCCTCCCAGCGCCGTTATTCAGTGACTAAAGCATCCTGGGGTCGTAATGGAATGGCACCGGTTCTTGATTCTGGACACACACAGCATTTAACCATCTCCCGTGAGTATCCTCCCACTGAGCATGTTGTTTTATTTGGAGGAACCTCAAGGGGTGCTGAGGATTAAACCCAGGTGGGCCACGTGCAAGGCAAATGCCCGACCCACCGTACTATGGTACCGTCCCTACACTGATAGCGCCTTAAGGCCAACTGCTCTGTGTTGCTTCCGAGAAGCACCTGGCTTCCAGCTGAAGGCATTTTCAATGCGGTCTCCACAATCTGGCATCTCTGATGCTCTGACAGTGGGGAGAGGACCAACCTCAGCAACGACCGAGCACCTGAAGCGCTGCTGAACTTTCCAAGGAGCCCGAGAGGCCCAGCGCCAGGTGCGGAGAAAAGCCCACCTTCATGCACCACAACCTTTACCCTCAGATCCACACAGCCGCAGTGCAGAAACGTTACAGTCCACCGAACAGATGGCAGTGCCAAAAGGAGGATTTATCAAGTCTCTCTAAAAGACTCTGGGACCCAGAGGACAAGCCAATTAACCCCGATTTCCTTTCTATAAAGCAGAGGATAATGAGGGCACACGATTTACCCCGGCAAACTCTTTGGGCCTACAAGATGCACAGTGTGGCATGCGAAGGCACAGGGTTGGGAGCGAGAACCTTTCAGGGCTCATCCTGACACCCCATTGTGACCTCACTTGCTCCTGGCAGAGGGGGTTTGTCTGTGTGGTGGGAGCAAGGAGAGTCCTGCCTTGCATGTAATTGGGGGATGGGGGGGGGGGAGACATGACAGATGACTGCCAGGGTGTCCCTCAGCTTGGGCCTTGAGAGTAGAGCCACAGATACATTTTCCTCTGGGGTACACAAACAGGCAAAGAACCACGGCTCCCCCACGAAGACACAGCTCCTGGTACCTTGAGGACAGGGAGTGCCAGGCCCTGGCTGTCTCCTCTGCTTCCACCAGCTTCTAAAAAGCCACAGTGGCAAGCAAGCTGGGCTGAGCTCTCATAACATTATTTATTATTTATTTATTTTTCTTTTTGGGTCACCCTGGCGATGCACAGGGGTTACTCCTGGCTCTGCACTCAGGAATTACTCCTGGCAGTGCTCGGAGGACCATATTGGATACTGGGAATAGAACCCGGGTCGGCCATGTGCAAGGCAAATGCCCTAACCACTGTGCTATTGCTCCAGCCCCTCTCATGATATTTTCTTTTTTTTTTATTTGGCTTTTTGGGTCACACCCGGTGATGCATAGGGATTACTCCTGGCTCTGCACTCAGGAATTACTCCTGGCGGTGCTCGGAGGACCATATTGGATGCTGGGAATCAAACCCGGGTTGGCCGCGTGCAAGGCAAACGCACTACCCGCTGTGCTATCACTTCAGCCCCTCTCATGATATTTTCTAATACAGCAAGAGATGCAGGGACACTGTGTACCCCAAGCCCACAGAACAGATTTTACACCCAAGCTAAAGAGCTTCCCCAAACTGCAGAGGTGCCCCAATGGGGATCGAATGAAACACACACTCTTCCTTGTGCAATGAGACCACCGGCAAAATGACTCCTTGGACAAGGTGGGTCATGAAGGTGAAATGATTTGCCAAAGATCTCTGAATGACTTGGGATTTTTTTCCTTTTCTTTATTACTTTTGGTTTGGGGACCACACCCAGTGATGTTCAGGGCTCCCTCCTGGCTCTGTGCTCAGAGGTCACTCCTGGTGGTGCTGGGGAGGGTACTTGTGCAGTGCACAGGATAGCACTGGGGTGAGTGGGATGCAAGGCAAGTGCCTTACCCCCATTACTATTTCTTCAGTCCATGCCTTAGAATTCTAAGCTAGCGAGGGCCACAGTGCCTTGCATGTGACTGACTCGGGTTTGACCCCTGGCATCCCATATGGATCGCCGAGAAATGTTAGGAGCTCTGGCTGAATGTAGAGCCAGGAGTAACCCCTGAGCATCACCGAGTGTGACCTAAAGAGAAAAAAAAATTCTAAGCCAGCCAGTCCTGGAAAGGGCTTCTGGTGCCCAGCTAGTTCCTTTGATCCCTGGCATGATGAACACAGGGGACTTGCTTCTCCTGGACTCCCTGTCAGGACTGGAGGACACCATTGGGCCCCAGTGTCCCTGTAGAGGGAATCAGATTGTGGCCCCTGAGCAAATCACTTCAGGTACTGGTACTGGCTTATTCATCATTTGTACCAATGTTGTAAGAACCAGATCGGGCCAGGTTATGAGAAGAGAAACTGAGATGTAAACTGGCTGTAAACCCTGTAACAAGGGCTGGAGTGATATAGTACAGCAGGAAGGGCATTTGCCTTGTACAAGGCCAACCTGGGTTCGATTCCCAGCACCCTATATGGTTCCCCAAGCCTGGCAGGATCCCTGAGCACAGAGCCAGGGCCAGGTGTAAGCCCTGAGCACCACCAGGTGTGGGACAAAACCAACCAACTAACCAACCAAACAAACAAAAACCAACATGGTATTGTCATACAGGGGCTGGAGCGATAGCACAGCGGGTAGGACATTTGCCTTGCACGTGAATGACCTGGGTTCAATGCCCAGCATCCTATATGGTTCCCCCCAAGCACCACCAGGAGTAATTCCTGAGTGTAGAGCCAGGAGTAATCCCTGAGCATCACTGGGTGTGACCCCAAAAGAAAAAGAAAATGTAGTACAGCAGGTAGGGCACTTGCCTTAAATGCAGTTCGACCCCAGAATTCCTTTTGGTCCACCAACCCCACCAGTAGTAACTCCTGAGTGCAGAGCTAGGAATAACCCTTGAGCACCTCTGGGTCTGGCCCCCCAAAACCAAACCTAACCCCAAACCCTGTAACAGACTGTTCCAACCTCAGACTGCCTTAATTGTAGGAACCATCAAGCCAAGAGCACATATATAAACTTGTATGCTCTGGGCTTGACTCTTGAGGACTAGCCCACCTGTGTCAGTAGACGGGGGTGAGGGGTGGGGTGGGGAGTGCCTCCCTCAGCCTTCTGAGTGCCATGTGTTTCTTTTTTGCTTTTTGGGTCACACGTGGCAATGCTCTGGGGTTCCTCCTGGCTCTGTACTCAGGAATCACTCCTGGTGGAGCTCAGGGAACCATATGGGATGTCGGGAATCGAACCCGGGTCGGCCAAGTGCAAGGCCTCCCTGCTGAACTATTGCTCCAGCCCTCCATCTGTTTCTTGGTCAGAGTTCTCAACATCATCAGCTACAAGCCACGCCACTCCTTTAAGCTCGTCCTTCCCTGTTTTCTTCCGGCTCCACACTCGCTTCACTCTAGACTCCACCCAAGCAAAGCCGGGGCCTGCTCCCTTCCACACACCTGGCCAGGCCAGAGCTCACAGCCCCAAAGGCCCAGGTGATCCTAGCGCTCATTCAAGCACACGGACATCGGCGGTGAGTTAAGCTCCACAGCCCTTGGTGTGGCACAGAAAAAACTTCCAAAATGTGGCTGCGACCTGCCGCCGGGCCTGCCCTCACATCTGCCCCTGCTCCCTGGCTGTCTCCTGGCCTTGATGATTCCTTCAGCCTTGTTGCTGCTGGGCTTTCTTCCGAGCACCTGGTTTCTCTAGCTAACTGGCCCGACTCGAAGTTGCTTCTGTTAGTCTCACCAAAGCCTTTTCCATAACCCTCCCCGCCCGTCCCCCACCATACTTCTGGCCTGCACAGAACCCCTGTGCAGCATTTGTGGCTTCCCTGACACTGCCGTGGTGCTTTGCAGCACAGACCAGATGCACAAATATGTGTCAATTCCACATGTTTAAAGGCAGTGGTGAGGCTGGAGGATGCCTTGCATCCTGCCAATCCCAGCACTTATATGGTCCCCTGAGCACAGCCAGAAACAGTTTCTGATCACTGTTGGGTGTGATAATACCGTCTCACAAAAATAAAGAGTAAATAATGGTAATCTGTGCCCAACATATATTCATTTCTTTTCTCCCCCACATACTTTATTTTTGGTTTAAAGCCCACTCCTGGTGGTACTCAGGGGCTATTCCTGACTCTGTGTTTGGGGAACAGAGCTTGGAAAGTGGGTGATATGTGGTGCTGGGGATCAAGCCCAGGGTGTTCTGTGTGCAAAGTCTGTGCTCGGGGCCACTGAGCTATCTCTCTAGCCCCAGACATTCATTTTTGTTGTTGCTTTGGGGCCACAGCTGTGGGTGCTCAGGGCTGGCTTCTAGCTCTGTGCTCAGGGATTCACTCCTGGTGGACTCAGGGCACCATATGGGGTGTCTGGGACTGAACCCAGTCAAACATGTGGAAGGCAAGCACTGTACTACCCACCGTACTGTTCTGGCCCCCTGCATCTCTTTCTCTTTCTTTGTCTTGGTTTTGGGGCCACATCTGTAGATGCTCAAGGGTGACTCCTGGCTCTGCACTCAGGAATCACTCCTGGTGGAGACTGGTAACTGCCTTACTGCTGTTCTATCTCCCTGGCCCCACGGAACATTCATTTCTTAATGCCCTCTCTCACAAGTTTGCTGTAAGTAGTTAAGAAACCAACAGCACTTGTCATGTACAAATTACTTAATAAACATTAATTCCTTCATTAAAAAATATTCATTTCTGAAGGTTATTTGACTTGTAGATTAGAAATGTAACCAGCAACCTGTTCAATCGTGTTCCGCTTCCTCTAGGCAGGTCTCTGCTTATTGACAGAGGAGGCAGAATGCTGTGTGTGTGTGTGTGTGTGTGTGTGTGTGTGTGTGTTGTGTGTGCACGCCTGTGTGCAGGCGCATGCGTCTGTCTCTGTGCATATCTGTTTTTACCTCTTCCGGCAACACCTCTTGTTCTTTGGCTTGAAGATACAGCTCTTGGAGTTTTTCCTGCAGTAATTCCATTTCTATTTCATTCACTTGGCTTGCACTCAGGCAAATTCCAGTTTCACTGGCACACCCATCTCGCTGATCCTCCCCCGGTACGAAAACAGCCCAGTCAGATGTCAACAACTGTTGAACAGCAAACAAGGATGAGAGCGGAATGAAAGGGATAGATAGTCTAAGGGATCACTCAAAAAAAACTTATAATTCAATAGAAAATAAATTATCTAGCATCTGCCTATGGCAGACAGGCTTGAGTCGTGGTGCGAAAATCCAAACTAATGGTGGTGGGAAGGTGTAATGGTGGTGGGATTGGTGTTGAAATGTTAATTGATTAATTAATGATTAATCAATTATTTTAAATAAATAATTGATTAATGTGAACAACCTTATGAAAATGAAATTTAAAAATAAAAAAGACGTATAAACAGTAGTAACTTCCTCTACTAGTGGGGAGGGGGGTGCAGGCAGTACACCCATGGTGTCTTAGGGGCTACTCCTGGTTTGGTGCCAGGGAAACACGAAATGCTGAGCTCAACTGTGGGGCACCTGCATGCAAAGCATCGGCCACCTCCTCAGACCACCAGGCTGTCCCACTCTCCTATTGCCCCGCTGATCTTGTGATGATTGGCATACACACACACACACACACACACACACACACACACACACACACACACTTGGCTGGGGTGATGGCCAGGGATTACATATGTTGATTGCGGTGCTCATGGAGGCTGCCCTCGACCCTCGGCCCAGGTGGGCAGCCTCCAGGACCCAACGCACAGTCTTAAACTGGCCAAGTTGATGCTTTTGTGCCGAGCAAACCATAGGTCCCCTGGGGCTTATTACTGATTGGTTGATTTTGGTTTGGGGCCACCCACACACAGCAGTGCTCAGGGGTTCCTACTAGCTCTGCACTCAGGGATTCTCCTGGCAGTGCTCTGGGGAACATATAAGGTGCCAGAGATTGAATCTGGGTCAGCCACATGCAAGACAAGTGCCTTACCGGCTATACTATTGCCCCGGCTCTCTCAGGACTCATTTAAACACCATCCTGTGAAAACAGAAAAGCCAGGAAACCCAGTACAATTCCTGATTTCCAATTAGCTTTTTAAATTTATTTTTGGTTTTGGGGCCACACCTGGCAGTGTTCAAAGGCTAATCCCAGCCCGGTGCTTGAGTGTCAATCCTGGCACTGCTTAGGGGACTAGGAGTTGTTGGGGATTAAACCCAGGGCTCTGACATGCAATGTGTTCACTCAGTCCTTTGAGCAACCTCCCCGGCCCAATTCCTGATCTTACCCCTCCCACTAATATTCTAAAATTTAGTTTAAGCCCTAGAAATGTTAAATTGTTTTTTTATTTTTGGACCACACCCAGGCTTACTCCTGGTTTTGCACTCAGGGATTACTCCTGGTGGGCTCGGGGACCCTCTGGGATTTTGGGTATTGAACACAGTTGGCTGTGTACCGGTTACCCACTGCACTATTGCTGCAGCCCCAAGAAATGTCAAAAACTAAATGAGTGGCACATTTTTTCCCCCTCCTTAGTTCTTTACAGGAGGTGTTAGCTAGTATTGGGAGGTATGTTTTCCAACCTGTTCGATTCTGGAATATACTGCCACAATCTCTGGGATATTCTTAAATTCATTAAGAAAATTTTGGATCTTCATCTGAAATTCTCGAAGCCACGCAGATGATACTTTCATTTCTGAAGAGTGCATGATCTCATTACGACACCTAATTACCTACAGAAAGACGAGATAAATAAATGAGAGGCTCAAAAAACCAAACATGATGGGCTAAAGTGGTTTTTTGTCATTCCAAAGGAAACTTGCAGAAAGCCTTTGTTAATTATAAAATTCAAGTGTGGCTTGTTAAATTAGCAAGGTTTCAGGGAATACTCAATGCCTGCCAAATGAATAATAAATTAATGGGGCAAGAAATATAAAAGAGAGAGATGCCTCTAGACCCTGCTCCAGGCTGAGTCTCACTGGGGCACTCCAGAGAGGGGTGGGTGAGCCCTCCACCTGCCCAAACAGAGTCTCAGCAGCCAAAAACCTCCAGAACCCAGTCACTGCCGTGCTCACGGCCGATCTCCACAGGCTCAGGATGAGCCTCATCCATGAGTGAATCTGGTCAAAGACTCAGGTATGTGGATTTTGTGACCAAAATCTCCAGTTTCTAATGGAGTCGGGAAAGGGTGACCTCCCCCCATGTTCCCGTTCTTCCAGGAGCCTGGTAGTCATGCCCACGAACTGCTCATATAAGCTCAATAAGGGCCATGATCCAGAGACTCACAAATAAATCTCAGAAGAGATCAACAAGCTTCAGAGATGCCTCTAGACCCCAAAGTCAGCATCCAGTTAAAAGTTTAATTCCAGCTATATTACCCTATTTAAAATTTTAGAATTCCTGGAGCGTGCATCCATGACATCTCATACTCTATACTACTGATGTACCAGGAGTAGCACGCCACATTGGATCGGGTGTAAAGTAGAAGGCAACCAATGTGGATAAAAAAATATTAGCACACAAGGCTTAACCTGTAACAACATGTTAGTAATGTCTTATACAGGGGCTTAATGGCTCCAGGGTGAGATACAATAATCTTCACACACTTTCTTCTAAGGAAACTGTTTTGAATGATATTTAGCAAACTATTCATAACAAACAATACAAAATAAATTATTTAGGGCCTGCTGCTGGGGCAGGCTTGAGTGGTGGTTTGGAAAATTCAAAATAATGGTGATGGGAAGGTGTAATGGTGGTGGGATTGGTGTTAGAATATTGAATGCAATAACTTGTTGTGAACAACTTTATAAAAATAAAACAAAATTTAAAAAATAGTTTTTTTTACAAAAAAGAAATATAAAAGAGAGAGGGGAGATATTGCAAAGGACTGGGGCACAAGCTTTGCATGCAGGAGGTCTAGGTTCTATCTCTGGCACTGCTCTGAGCATCGCTATGTGTGACCCCCAAATCCATTTATCTCTGTATACACAAATATGTACACATTTATAGATACATAAGACTATAACTAAGTTTTGCTTTATTTTCAGGTCACACCTGCAGTGCTTAGGGCTCACTCCTGGCTAGCTCTGCACTCAGGAATTACTCCTGATGGTATTCAGGGGACCAAATGTGGGGCTAAGGATTGGACCTATGTTGACTGTATTCAAAGCAAGTACCCTACCCTCTGTACTATCTCTCCATTCACTGAGCCTAGAACTATTGTTAGCCCTCATGATCTTGCAACTTGGGTCACATCTGGAGCTCAGGGGATTCTCCCACTTGGTGTCCAGGGGATCCTATGGGGCTAGGGATGGAACCCGGGGCTCCTGCATGCAAAGTGCACAGTCCAGCTTATTGAGGCATCTTCCTGACCCCATGCTGTGATGGTGTTTGCTTGATGTCATAAAGGATTCTCAGTCCTTTCAGCTTGGTAGCAAAATATATGTGTGCCAGAGTGTTGTCTAGTGAAACTGAGCAAAATCTCAGCCTATCCGCCAGTCTGCTAAGCACCGAGCTTTCTTCTCATACTGTTCACCCTCTAGGGCCTAGGCTGCCTTCAGGACTCTGGAATCGGGTCTTGGAACTGTTTAGCCAATAAGACTCAGACGGGCACGTTCCATGCTGGTATATGAGGAAAAGAGTGCTAAGTTCTGGGGTGTTTCTTTTTTCTTTTTTCAGTGAAGGTTGGGGTGCACCTGCTGAGCTTGGGTGCTCTTCCTGGCTCTGTGCTCAGATGTGACTCCTAGCAGAGCACTGGGGACTGTACATGGTGGCAAGGCATTGAACCAGGGGCATTGTGACACACGGCATGTACCTTACCCCCGTACTGTCTCTCTGGCCCCTGTGCTTCTCATAGATGCCACACTAGCAGTGCTCAGCGTCCTGGGGTCATTCCCAGCAGAGCTCAGCCACTGAGGCCAGTGGTGCGTGGAGGCCCCCAGGGCCATAGTTTGACTGTACTTGGGGAAGTGGGGGGTGCACTAGGGCCACAACCAGGGGTGCTGGGTGGGTCTGTGGTGTCAGGGATTCAAGTCAATAGTCCTACCCATGCTAGGCAGGGGCTATACCATTTGAGGTAGTTATCTACCTAGTCTACCTGGTCCCTTTTTTGGGTCACACCTGGGGATGCTCAGGGTCTACTCCTGGCTTTGCACTCAGGAATCAATCCTGGCAGGGCTTGGGGGGCCATATGAAGTGCTGGGGGTCGAGCCCAGGTCAGCCGCGTGCAAGGTAAGTGCCCTCCTTGCTGTACCATTGCTCCAGACACTCCATGTTCTTAAATTTTAGACATTTTTTTCTCTAGGGCTGGAGAGATAGCGCAGAGGTTATGGCTATTGATCCATTTATGTCCTGTCCTATTTCCCTATGTATCTGCCATGGCAGGCTCACACGTTGCTTGCAAGGCACATCCCCAGCTGTACTTTGTTTTTTTTTCCTTGCTTTTTGGGTCTGACCTAGCAATGCACAGGGGTTACTCCTGGCCCATGCACTCAGGAATCACTCTTGGCGGTGCTCGAGGAACCATATGGGATGCTGGAAATCAAACCCGGGTTGGCCGCGTGCAAGGCAAATGCCCTACCTGCTGTGCTATCGCTCTAACCCGTGCTTTGCTTTGACTGTGGGAAATCACCTTTGCTGCTGTTTATGGCAGAAGAGGGCTGAGAAATATGTAGTTCATCTACTCTAACAGCAAGCAGCACATTTTGAGCAGCTGAGAAGCTGCCTTTGGGGGTAAACCAAAGAGCCAGTCGGGGCCGTGCTCATAAGTGGCTACAGGACATCCCAGGAGGTGCACGGGAGATGCCCCACTCTGAGTGGAACAGTCCCCCCCTTGCATACCCTGTCTGGGGCAGAGACCGGTGCAGGCTGCTTCACTCATGGTGAGGGGTGTATGGTTTTAGGTTGGGGTACTCTTACCTCGGTGACTTTCTTTCGATCAACCACGAAGTGATCACAGGAGTTGATGAGACTTAAGAGAGCCACCGCGTCACACTCCTCGGGCCCTGTTTTGTCTGTCAGTCCTCGGGGCATGAAGGCCTAGAAGGGGGGTGGGGTGGCAGGAGGGACACCTGAGTCTCCCCAGGGCGAGGAACTGACAGGGCAAATGTTTTGGCCTATTTCCACAACGAGGGCTGGGCCTTCAAGCCAGATGCTCGAAATCCCAATGTGAGGTGGGAAATAGTGGTGAGAGCCAAGGACTCCATGTCTGTCCCACTGCCATTAGAAACACACACACACACACACAGACATACACACACGGGATGGAACTGGTTTTCTGTCTTCTCTGAAGGGTGCATAAGCAGGAAGTGTGGGTAGAAAGCACTTGTTTTCTTTTTCTAACCAAAGCTTCAGAGCTTCGATTGTTAAAGAGAATTTTTAAATAATAGTAGCTCTAACAGGAATACCTTTTGGGGGGGAGGGGGAGTAGAGCGGTTCTGGCTGTGCTCAGGTCTTAACCCTGGCTCTGTGTTCAGGGATCACACCAGGTGGTGCTCATGGGATCACAGGGGGTGCCAGAGATTGAACCCAGGTCAGCTGCGTACAACACAAGTGCCCTACCCAATGAAAAATGGCTCCAACCCCACAAGAAAAATTAAAAACAAGTGTTTTTAATTGAATCGCCATGAGATAGACCCTTACAAAGCTGTTTATGATTGGGTTTCAGTCATAGGGTGTTCCAACACCCATCCCTCCACCAGTGCACACTTCCCACCACCAATGTCCGCAGACTGCCTCTATGGTGGGTGCTTCGCTTCTCTCTCTCCCCCCTCCCCTCCTTTTGGTTATTGTGGTTTGCAATACAGATACTGAAAGGTTATCATGTATGTTCCTTTATGCCCTTTCAAGTGACTTGGGAAAGTGAATCAGGAGTGCTCTCCTCTTTGAGCTCTGGAGAAGCTCAGAGGAGCGTGCAGGACTAAGAATGTGCTTTGCATCCTGGAGGTCCAGGCTTGATCTCTGGCATGGCAGGGTCCTCTGAGCACCACCAGGAGTGACCCCTGAGTACCTCCAGGTGAGGGCTCCAAATTTCAAATCAACCAAGCCATCATAGAATCTCAGTGCTGCATTTGGACAGGACTGGGTTCAAGGGTTCAAATCCCAGCTCTCTGCCACTTGTCAACAGACTTTGGGCAAATAACTTATTCCCTGGGCTGGAGCGATAGCACAGTGGGTAGGGCGTTTGCCTTGCAAACGGCCAACATGGCCGACCTGAGTTCAATTACTCCGCCCCTCTCGGAGAGCCCAGCAAGCTACCGAGAGTATCTTGCCCGCACGGCAAAGCCTGGCAAGCTCCCCGTGACATATTTGATATGCCATACACAGTAACAACTGTCACAATGGGAGACATTACTGGGTCTGCTCGAGCAAATCGATGAACAACGGGAGGACAGTGTGACAGGACAGTGACAACTTATTCCCAGGGTCCTCATCAGTAAACGGTGCGTGTGTGTGTGTGTGTGTGTGTGTGTGTGTGTGTGTGTGTGTGTGTGTGTGTAGAACTCCTTGCCTACCTCCCCTGGAGGGCCACATGTGCATCAGATGATTAATGCAGGCCAAGCCTGTGCGAGGTGCCGGATGTTAATGGGCCGTTGCTGGTGGCAATTACTAAGTTGACGGTGCAAGGTGAGCAGCCAGCAATCACGGGCCCAATCCCGGGGCTGTGATGCCATGATATGCCAGACGCGTCCTGCTCTGGCACCATCTCGCCTTCTGTAGGATTTTAGGGATGACTCGCCCAAAGCATGTTAGAGGAAGATTGGGGCATGCTTTTTTGTGTTTTCCCCTTGAAATATTTTCAAATTTACATCTGAATGCAACAACTTTCCTGAGAGGCTAATGACTACCTTCCTGCCAAGAAAAGATGACATGAAAAATTACTTGCACTGGGCTGCGGAGATAGCTCTAACAGGCTGAAGCGCATCTCTGCGCTTGGAAGCCCCTGCTTGGGTCCTTGGCACTGCAGGGTCTTCTGAACGCTACTGGGAGTGACTCCCCGGAGCCAGGAGTGGCCCCAGCACTGCTGGACATGCAGTCCCTTCCCAAAGAAGAAAAACTATTTGCCTTTGCACTCTAAATAAATAAGGGGCTGGAGATGTGGGTGAGTGCCTGTTTTATCAGTGGGAAGCCCTGCGTTCGATCCCTAGCACTGCCCCCTCCAAAATCCTAACCATAGCAGCTCACAATGCTGCCCGCATGTACTGCTTGTAATGGTGTCCCATGGAGAGTGAGCTTATGTGTCTGATGTGGTGGCTCACACATCTGCACCTTACATAATCAAGAAGAATTCTGTGGGCTAGAGAAGTATAGTACTGGGATTCAGGCACTTGCCTTGCATGTGGCTGACCCCGGCCCAAGTCTCAGCACCATTAATATGGTCCCCTAGCATTGCCAAGAGTGACCTCAAGCAGAGCCAGGAGTAAGCCCTGAGCATGACTAGGTGTGGGCTCCAAACCAAAACATAAATAAAATTAAAGAGAATTTTGTATGCACTCAAAGGTCCCTATTTAAAGAGACACCAGGGGGTGGGGGAGGGCTGGAGCGATAGCACAGCGGGTAGGGCATTTGCCTTGCGTGCGGCCGACCCGGTTTGATTCCCAGCATCCCATATGGTTCCTCAAGCACCGCCAGGAGTAATTCCTCAGTGCATGAGCCAGGAGTAATCGTTGTGTATCGCTGGGTGTGACCCAAAAAGAAAAAAAAAAAGATACACTGGGAACATGGAGAGTAGCATGCTGAGTGGAGTGGGTCAGAGAGAGAGGGTCAGGCATTGAATGATCACACTCATTTGGGGATATTAAAAAATAGCATGAGAATATGACAGAAATGAAGGTCAGGAAGACGGGTTCATGGTAGTAAGCTTGGCACGAGTCAGAGGTGGGGGTGGTGGTGGAGGGCAGTTAGGACAGAGAAGGGACTACGATGACAGTAATAGTTGGAAATGACAAATGGACAAGAACTGACTGCTAAAAGTAGGTAACCTTTCAGTAACAGTATTGCAAACCACAGTGCCCAAAAAGAGAGGGGTGGGGGGAGTGCCAGTCTGGGGGGTTGTATCAGGTGAGAAACAGGTTGTATCAGGACTTTGGTGGTGGGCAAGCACTCCAGTGAAGGGCCAGGTTTGAAACATTGTATGACTACACTCCATCAAGAACAACTTTGTAACTGTGTATCTCAGTGATTCAAAGTTTCAAAAAGAAAAAGATACAACACAGGGAGGCTGGAGAGAGTACAGTTGCATACAGTGACCCTGATTTGACTCCCAGCATTGCTAGGCCCCCTGAGTTGCACAGGGTGAGGTCCTAAGCTGCCCTCCCCCATTAAAATGAAATAAAAGATACAGTGTAACTTTCCATCAGTGTCTGTTACCTAGCTGATGCTCAGCCCGCTAGTGTAGTTGCTACAAATGTTAAAAGAAATTGATTAAATGTATCACAGGCAAACTACTGTAAGGAAGGAAAGAAACTTGAGTTGCTGTAGAGAGAAAGCACTAAGCTCACAGGGGCTGCCTCAAAATCAGGCAGTTTGTCTTATCCGCCAGCTATATCTGTCTGTAGAGAATTCTGTTTTTCTTTTTCCTTGCTTTTGGTGTTTTAGGCCATACCCGGTGGTGCTCGGGCCTTATCCCTGACTTTGCATTCAGGGATCACTCCTGGTGGGCTCAGGTGACTGATAGGATGCCAGGACTGATGCCGGGCTGGGTCAGCTACGTGCAGGGCAAGCGCCCTACCCACTCTGTTTTTTCTTTTTTGCTTTTTTGGGTCACACCCGGCGATGCACAGGGGTTACTCCTGGCTCTACACTCAGGAATCACCCCTGGCGATGCTCAGGGGACCATACGGGATTCTGGGAATCAAACCTGGGTCGGTCAGCCGCTTGCAAGGCAAACGCCCTACCTGCTGTGCTATTGCTCCAGCCTCCCCCACTCTACTATCTTTACCTGCCCCATCTGTGGAGCATTTTCTCCAGTGTCAGCCTGTTTCTTCCATTTTTTTTTTTTTTTGCTTTTTTGGGTCACACCTGTCACTGTCCTCCCGTTGTTCATCGATTTGCTCGAGCAGGCCCAGTAACGTCTCCATTGGAGACTTTGTTGTTACTGTGTCTGGCATATCGAATATGTCACGGGGAGCTTGCCAGGCTCTTGCCAGGCTCTGCCGTGTGGGCGAGATACTCTCGGTAGCTTGCCGGGCTCTCCGAGAGGGGCGGAGGAATCGAACTCGGGTTGGCCATGTTGGCTGCGTGCAAGGCAAACGCCCTACCCGCATGCTATCACTCCAGCCCACACCTGGCGATACACAGTGCACAGGGTTTACTCCTGGCTCATGCACTCAGGAATTACTCCTGGCTGTGCTCGGGGGACCATATGGGATGCTGGGAATCAAACCTGGGTCAGCTGCGTGCAAGGCAAATGCCCTACCCACTGTGCTTTCATTTCAGCCCCCCATGTGAGTTTTGTTCTAATAATTCTTCCCTTTTATCAGTACCTGGAGCCACAGGGAGGCCCTGCCTGGCCATATCAAGCATGATCTTCTATGGGGCAGGGGTTAAGTCATGCTCAGACGTGCTTGGAGGAAACTTCTGGCACAGTGCTCGGGGGACCATGTAGTGTCAAGTATGTATCGAGGCCGGGGACCTCGTGTGCTCCAGCCCTTGAAACCAACTCCCTGAACCCTAAAAGCAGGTTCTTTTCCATCTGGGGGGGCACACCCAGCAGTGCTCAGGGTTTACTCCTCGCTCTGTTCTCAGGGGCACACTGTGCGGTGCTGGGGATCAAACAGGGGTCGTCTGTGTGCAAGGTTACCCACTGTGCTAGCTCGCTGGCCCTGAAAGCAGGTTCTGATGCTGCTGTGTGGTCTGTTAAATGCAGTGTGGTGAGGAACGGCCGTTACAGCTGGTTACTCCACAGTGTTGTCTCTGTCCTGAGCACTGGGAGAAGAGATGGAAGGAACTGAGGCCAGATCGTGTGGGGGCCTCCATGGCTCTGCAGAGGCCCTTACAGCTGGTTCACAGGCCTCCAGGAGGGGCTGGAGAGGTATTAC